GTCTGAGGAAGGAGGATTTGGGGGTGCCTCGGATACTGATTCGGTGATTGGAGGGGAGACTTGGAACCAGGACTCCTGGGTCTGAGGGATGAGGGGTCTGGGGGATCAGGGTCTGAGGAAGGAGGAGTTGGGGTGCCTCAGATACTGATTTGGTGATTGGAGGGGAGACTTGGAACCAGGACTCCTGGGTCTGAGGGATGAGGAGTCTGAGGGTGGAAGGGCAGAGGACTTGGGCTCCTGGGTCTGAGATCCATCGGAGATCTGAGTATCAAGATTTCTGAGTGAGGGACAAGGGGACTGGGATTTGACACCTGAATTCCTACTTGGGAAGGAGGAGGGCCCTAGGCTCTTGGGTCTGAAGGTGCAAGGGGCTGGGTTGGAATTTACAGGCCCGAGACCTCCCCAGCCCCGCCTCTGGGTTGGGCCCCTGGAACCCAGCCTCTATTGAGAAATCGATCCGACGGCCTTAGGGGACTTTACAAGTGTGAGCAAGTCTGGCTTGGGGAGTTTGTAAAGCGAGAGACAGGCTGGGACAGAATGGCCACGGGGACACGCTACGCCGGGAAGGTGGTGGTGGTGACCGGGGGCGGGCGCGGCATCGGAGCGGGGATCGTGCGGGCCTTCGGTGAGTACCGGTCTGGGTGCTCATTTTTGGGGAGACGAGAGGGGGTCAATGGGGGCTGGGAGGCAGGGATTCCAACACTGCAGTGACGCCGAGATGGGCTTTTGAATGGCACCCTGGAGCCTGGGGTTGTTGAGCTGGGTCTAGAGGCAGTTCGTCTCTCTTGTTGCCTTGCCAATGTTAGGGCTGGTTTGGGGCATGGGTCTCTTGTGGGTTTGGGGTGACCCCGGAGGGTGGGGACGAGGGTCCCGGGCGCCCGTGGCAGGCCCCGGCGGGGGCCGAGCAGCGGAGACAGCCGAGCCTCTGCCCTTTGCCCGGGGAACCCTAATGGGACCTGCGCAACGCGAGGTGACCTCGGGGCGGCCCGGCCCTCCACCAGCGGGCGGCTTGGTGCCCGGGTAACCTGGTCTCCCTTTGCTTTTCTTAGTGGACAGCGGGGCGCAGGTGGTCATCTGTGACAAGGAAGGTGAGTGAGCACCCCTCCGATTTTGCTCCAGCCCCTCCTCCTTCAGACCCCGGAGTCTCAGCCCTAGCCCTTCCCCGCCTCAAACCCAGGAGTCCGGGTCCCCCCACCGCTCCTCCCTCGGTCCCATTCCCGGGTCTTTCTCTCTCTGCAGAGAGTGGGGGTCGCGCCCTGGAGAGGGAACTTCCTGGTACCCTTTTCATCCTCAGTGATGTGACTAAGGAGGCAGATATGAGGGTGAGCATTTTTGTGTCGGGGTGGGGTGGGGGGACCCCCAGCTCCAAGAGTCACCCGCCCCTTCTTTCTTCTCCCCTTGGGCTCCTTTCCCTTCCCCCTCCCATGCTGGGCACTTTCTTTCCCTCCTCCAGTGGTTACATGGGATCCAAAGGGATTAGACGACTGACCCCTTGGCCAGGGCCATGCCTCCCCACCGACCACCCCGCCAGGAAATGGTCATTTCCACTTCCACTAGGCTCTGTTTTATTTTTCCATTTGATTTGTTTATTCTTCAAAAAAGCTTCCTTTATGTTTAATTCAGCTTTCTGACCCTGTGCTTGTGACTTCCACACAGTTCACAACGATTTTCTGCTCCTTGATAAGGAAAGCATGCTTGGGCCTGTCTTGGACACATTTAGCACACAGGGACCCACCCTAGGCCCTGCTGACCCTGTTTGTTTGGTTTGGGGCCTCATGCGAACGTTGGGTTTCACAGCACAGATTCCTTGAAGTCGGCCTGGGTGCAGGCCACATGCAGATTTGGGCTCCGTCCCAACCCTCTTTGTAGAAAGGTAAACATTCCTATGACCAGGGGTTCTGGGCAGCCTCCTTTTATTAGCGCCTGTATCCTAGGACAGCCTACTCCTACTCCGGAAGGTCAGATGCCGAACCCTTTTAAATGCCTCTACACTGGGTCCCTGGAGGAGGAACCCCCTAGGCTCTTATCACACCTGTCACATGGATTCCTGTTACTGACTTCCTCCAAGTGGGGCTCCCTAATAGTTCCCCTCCAAAGCTGGGTGTCTATCTTTTCTTCCCCCCCAACAGTTTTATTGGCACAAAATTGACATAGCCTACAATCGAGTAAGTTCAATTGTTCAATCATGTCAAGGGGGAACTGGACAATCACTACCACATCTATCTTAGAGCATGCCCCCACTACCCTACACACACACACACACACACACACACACACACACACACACAGAGTTAAATCGTCTTCAGTGTGAGTCCTGCAATCCAGATCCGTTCTAGTGATCCCTCCCCCTTCCATCTTTTCTCTTTAGTCAGCATCTCTTCGAGTTTCTGTTTCCAACCCTCCCTCCCCCACACTCCCCCATTTCGCTCCCCCCATTTCTGGCTCTCTGTCCCCATGTCCCACTCTCTCTGGCTCTAAATATCCCTCTCATTGCATCTCAGAAACGGCCCTGCAGGGAGGCCCTCACCACCCTGCGATCTCTGCCCCCTCGCCTCCCACGCCTGGTGATTTGGGAGGGAAGGGCTGTCCCATCTTCCTCTAGCTCCCCCACTGCTGTGGCCAAGAGGACAGCCCCCACCCACCCACCACCACCACCACAGGCTCCCAATCAGTTGTTTTCTCTCCCCAGGTCCTGGTCTCTGAGACCCTGCGCCAATTCGGCCGTCTGGATTGTGTGGTCAACAATGCCGGCTACCGTGAGTTGTGGAGCCCCAGGGCCCCCTGTCCCTCATCCTCCTGCACCCCAACTCCCCTCCCTCTCATCTTGCACTCCCTCTCCGGGCCCCCTTGACTTGCCCTTCAGTCTTAACATCTTCATCCTGCCATGCGCCCTTGTCTGGTGTCTTTGCCTCTCTGTGCCTCAGTTTACACATATCTCAAATCAGGTCAACCCCAAGGTTCAGGGGTAGGATGCTCCCTTCCCCGCAGAAGACCCGGGCCTGATCCCCACCCCATGCACCTCCTGTGCAGCCACCACCCATTTGTCCCTGGAGGCTGGGAGGCTGAACCAGGTGGCTGTGGGCCACCCAGGTTAAGAGAGACTGGGAAGAAAGGCCTGGCTATCTATTTGTGAAAACCAGCCGCCAAACATCGCTGTCAATGAGTCTAATTTGGGACCACACATTTCGAGTGCGTTTAAGGTTGGACATTGAATAAGGAGAGGGGGAAGAATCAATGCCTTTCGATTGTGCTGGGGAAGAGTATTGACAGACCACAGACTGCCCGAAAGACAAAGTGTCTTGGAAGAATGCTCCTCAGAGGCTCCTTAGAGTAGGCTGGTGAGACTTGTCTGACCTACTTTGACATGCTGTCAGGAGAGACCAGGCCCTGGAGAAGGCATCTGTGGTATTCGGGACAGTAGAGGGAAAGGGAAAGAGAGGACGGATCCTCCACCAGATGGATTCCCACAGCGGCGGCAACCATGGCAGACAAACCATTGTCAGACCCCCTTTTTGGAGTCTGGACTGTTCATGAGCCTGAGATCGGCCACCCACCCTGCCCTTCCCGGATTTCCAAGGAGCTCGCTCTGGGCCCCTGACGTCTCTGGTCTCTGGGACTTCACAGAGTGGACATGAAGTAGTCAAGATGGCCTTGAACTCACAGTAAAGGCTTAGGATGAAGTCAGTGCTCGTTCAGGGGTGCCTTGGCTTCTGGGCATCATTCAGCCCCCAGGCTCTCGCTCTGCCTTCTCCCATCTTGTCC